AGGGATCCCCAACCCCAAGTCCATGGACCAGTACCGGGCCGCGGCATGCCAGCAACCGGTCCGCACAAACAAGCAAAGCCCCATCCACAGGATGCAGGCAGCACACGAAACCACACACCCTCCAGTCCGCGTAAAAAGCTCTCTCCACGTAACTGGTCCCTGGTGCCAAAAAGACTGGGGACCTCTGTGTTATCAAACAAAAAGGAAATAAACATATATTTGGTAGAGAAATATTGCATTGGGATTCCAAAAGCCTTTGGCCACTTAAAAATTTTCCAAATAGTGATTATTCAGCATAGTATAGGTTAGTACAAGATAGAAATAACTGTAGTTAAGATTGGCAGAAAATAGTGTGTGAAAAATGTCCACAACACTGGTAAAGAAAATAGCAAACCTAACCTTAATTGTATTTTACTAGGTTTTTTTTGCTAATTAGGAATACATAAACAAGTTTATATTTTGTTTACCTTTAAAATATATTTTGAATTATTTATTGTAGGATTAATTTCATGCTGCATGCCACTCTTCTAGCGTGCATTATATATATTCACATCATTTCACTTTCCCAGCAGTATAATATCATTCTAATTTTGGTGTATTTTGTTTATTTTGCCTATAAAACCCCTTCTCGCAGACCCAGGAGGCAATATTCTGTGTTGACCTTGGCATTTATACATGTTAGTAATGTATTCTGAGAACTCATTATGACCCATGTTTAGAAAAATCTCATTTTAAGTGGTATAGATGTTAAGCAACTTTTCAATTTAATTAGAATCCTCTACTGCATTTCATTAGAAGGTTATTCAGTAATTACTTAGCAGGTCTTGAATGCTTACAAATGAAGTAGTGACAGGACATAATACTCCTAAATTATAGCTGCACAGCAGGAGAAGACGCTGAAAAAAAGAGGAATAAATTCATAGTTTTAAAAACAGAATGTGAAAATTCAGTATAGTTTCCTTATCCTGTAAATGAGGTTTCTGCATTATTTATCAAGTCCTATTTCTAACAGTGTGACTGCGATCTAGTTAGGCTGTTCCGAAGCTAATCTAGATCTGGAATCAAGTGAGAATTTAGCATATGGATTTTTCCTGTTATTATGGCATCTGGAAAGCATGACAGATAGTTAATTCCCAAATCCTCATTTTTGTGCCCTTTATGGCTTTATGTCTTAAATGTTACAAGCATTTTTAAAAGTAAATTGCCATCTTTCTTCCTATGACTTCTTTTTCCTTCATTGAGCTAGGAATGTACCTGTTGGAGTAAAGCTTTCATCTTTGATTTCAGTGAAAGAAGTTGGTTGCAAACAGAAAAACGGTATTTCCGTTGATATGTATAAAATGACCAGACATGCATAAAATACATGTAGCTTTTTAATGTTATGGTTTTATGATGCTGCAATAAGATATTTTTTAAAAAAAAATGTATTTCACATTTATTAGATAAAATGTAGAACAGAGTCCACAAATATCTGTTGGGGAAACTAGCTCAATCGTTAGTATAAGATGTATTTGAAGGACCATAAATTTAGTTCTTCGTTAACTATGAAAATTGGGACTGGAATTTCCATTGCAGTTGTAAAAGGTGAAATCACATGCCTACATCACTTAACGACAGCAATCCTGGCAATATCTGTTGCTGTCGTTAAGCAAGATTCAAAGGACATTAAGCAAGGACCTACTCACAACTTCCTGCCAGTTTCCAACAAGCATAATCAGTGGGGAACCAGCACATCCCAGGCAGCTTGCAAAAAGGCTGGCAGGCAAGCAGCTACTTCAAGGTAGGGGGCATGTGCAAAGAGCTGGTGGAGGGTAAGCAGTGTGGCTTGGGGTGTCTGCTGCTGGCTGGGGGAGGATATATGAGCATGTGCGAAGAGATGGTGTGGTGTGAGCAGTGTGGAATGAGATGGCTGCTTTCAGGTGCAAGAGACTTATCTGAGCAACTTGCAACCTTCCTTGCTGAGTTCTCCCTTGATGTTTTTGTGGAAAGCCATCATGGAAGATTGCATCTGGCAATCATATGACCATGGGATGCTGCAACCTTTAGGTGTGAGCTAGGTACCCAAGCACTCAGATTGCAATCACACAACTGCTGGGGTGCTAGGACAGCCAGAACTTTGAGGACCGGTCGTAAGTACCATTCATTCAGCACCACTGTAACTTCCAACAATCATCGAACAAATGTTCATTAACTGAAGATGCTTGTGCACAGCAGAACAGATTAAAAAGATCTAAATATCCTGGTAGAGCACAAACTGAACATGAGCAAATACTATGATACAACTACAAAAAAACCTGTGTTGTATTAGAAATAACTATCAAGATTAAGATAAACTATCAAATCTTTCCATTATGGATTGGTACAATTCTAGGCTCTACATTTTAGGAAAGATACTGTTTAATTGAGGTATCTCCAACCACGATGATAAAGGCTTGGAAGAAAAAGTTTATGAGGAAAGTTAGAATAATATATTTAATAATATATTTAGACATGATAGCTGTTTTCAAGTACCTGAAAAGGGGCTATATAGAAGCTGGAATCAAAGTGCTCAGAGTTCTCCCAGTAGATGGAAGAAACAATGGATTTAAATTAGATAATTGGTTATCAGGCAAAAAACATTAATAGTACAGTTCTGCAACAGTGGAACAGACGTTTTCTGGATATGTTTAAACAAAGGTTTAATTGCCTTTTTCACAGGCGCTATAAGATTATATTGGGCAAGAAGTAAATGATCCCCAAGCTGCATTCCATTCTTTTCCGAATCTTTGCAATATATCAAGTACTTGTATTACTGAAGATCATTCTTAATACCATATTTGTGTATTTGTATAGGGACGATGATTCTTAATAGTGTATTTTCTTACACTGCTGTTTCTAAATATGCGTTTAAATTACTGCAAACCGAAGACACTTTAGTATTTAACTTGAACCAGGAGGATAAAGAACCTTATTTCTGTTATAATCATTCTTTATTTAAATTTACTGACCACCCAACTCCAGTGTACTTTAGGTGGCGTACAAAAATAGAAATAACATAAAAACAACTAAACATTTAAGTCAGACATCCCAAACTAAAACACTCTAATATAAACAATAAAATGAACAAAATAAGCTATTTCTAATACTTAAACATTTAGCATGCATGAATGTGCAGCCCCTATATTCTGTGCCATTTACCGGGCTAAATAAAATGTGGTAATTCCTTAATTTTTTTCCTTACAGATTATTAAGATAATGTAGCACCTGAAAAATAAGTGTAACAAACTGTATGTGTAGAAACACCGTCCTCAAACAGTTTGATGCAGACAGTTGCAAATGAACAGCTCACTAGTTTCAACATGAATCATCTCCTCAGTGATAGCAATTCTTCTACCCAGCCTCCTTTAAACTTCAGAGGAAGAATCCTCAGGTCTGGTTTCCAGACTTTTTACCAGTTAGTATCCCCCATTATGCAGTATACAATGGTTAACATCCTTCTAAAATTTAACATCTATACTTGAACAAAGTACATGTGGTCTGGCTAATACTGAATATTCTATCGCACTTCAAAATTAACCTGAGATTACGGAATAATTTTATTTCGATTGCAGTAAGAAATATATTATTTTGAACTCTCCTGTTATTTTTCAGCCTCATTATATAACTTTGGGAAACTAAGATACATTCTAATCTTTTAACATACTTTACATGTCCTTCAGGAGCAAATTATCTACAATTCTAAGATTTTTTTTCAAGAGTTCCAGTGACTTTTTTCAAGTGTACTTTGCAATTGTACTTTAAAAAAAAAATCAGTAGGACGATTCTCCAATTTCATTAGTTACTGAAGAGTTCTGTTTTGCTTTAATAATAATAGCATTAATGGAAAGTTTCACCAGCTGGTAGTCTCCACTATATAATTGGATGTCCTTTAAAATTTTATGTCCATACCTGGAATAAAAGCATTAATGAAAAATTTCACAATTGGAAACCTCGTTATGCAACTTTTATAGTGCAGCCACTTGTCATTTTCCCTTCCCCATCAGTTTGCTAGATTTAAAAACATTTTGTTGTATCTGAAAAAACATTAAAAAGCATTGGGGTTAATATTTAATGAAAATAGGCAACAGAAATTTAATTATGTAACCTTTCCCAATCAGGCATGTTCCGAAAGGGTTAGGTTAGGACTACAACTACCAGGAAGTTGTGATGCCAATGCATTTCAATGGCATCAGGTTGTAAAAAAATGTATAATGTAAAACACTGTTTTCCTTAATCTTGACTAAACATAGATCCAACCCATGGAAAAGATAATATCCTAGACAATGGACATCTGGTCTCTATTTAACCCTATCCCCAATTCTGTATCCCAAAACTGCAGTCCTATCCCATTTAAATGAAAGTCCTGTTGTACTCCTACATGAGAACTACCTTGAATAAAAATGGAAAGGAATGCATGACACTGCTGAGGATAGCTTTTATTTTAACTCCCTATTAATGGTCTTAGTCAAGATACAACTAACAAATATACTAACTTTAGAAGAAAATAATTTCTATCATTAAAAAAAAAAACTATTGCAAAGAGAAATCAAGTCTACACTTAAAGTGCAAATAATTTATCAGATAGCAAATTGCTAGAAAAACATTCTCCTTTTCATAAAGCTTCCAAAAAAGCATAATAGAAATATTTTATACTAACGTAGCAAATCAAATCTAAAAACATCTCTTCATTATCTTTGTTTTCTTCCTTATAAATAGCGGGCTCTCATGTCTAATTATTCTCACCCTCTCCGCTGACCCTGCAGCTGGCTCATTTATCACATTTTTTGTTGGAGACATCCTGTCAGATAACAGGTTAAAATGGCTTCACTCTGATTTATTCATAAATCACCTCCATGCTACTTTGAATAAATGTTATTTCTAAAGATTTGTGTGAATTCCTAAATACAATGTAAATACTGTACACAGGTGACTGAGCTATCAAATTTCCTAACTTGAAAAATTGGGGCAATATTTTAATATTTAAGTTTTCAAAATGTGTTCGATACAAATGTCATGTCAATATTGTAAAACTGGGAAAAAATCACAAACAGAAGACTGACTTGTTCATTCCAAATACATATATTTCATTTTACTCATTGTAAGAGTACAAAGGATGAAAAGCTCTAGAAATAAGTTCTTAATTTTATTTTTCCCATGTTTAAAAAATATTATTCTGAGGAGATATTGAAAACACATCAACCATTGCTAAAACAAATACATATGTTGAGTGAATTAAAGAAGATATGTGCCAATATTAAAATATTTCTCCATTCTCCGAGTCTGAATTCAAATAGTTTTACCATAATCAACACCTAGTCTATGATACAAGTTTTTCTTAAAATTATAACCTGCTGGCTAAATGTTAAATATATAACCGTCTTTTTAAGTGATTCAAATTACTTATATTAATATCTTGCAAAACTATTACTGTTCCTTTTGTCTGGCAAACATTAAATTCAATAGTCATCAAGCAACAGAGGTCTATTAGTTCTCGTTGGCAATTCTGTAATCCCTCCTTAAGCTTTGGGTACAGGACAGGATCTTTCCTCAGTTGCTTCATTTCAGGCACAGAAAAGCCAATTAAGCTTGTAAGAATCTCATCAGCGAATTCAACTTCTAGATAAGCTGTGCCATCAGATATTTTTGCTGTTACACTCCAGAAGCCATTACTGCATGTAAGCTTTCCTGTAAGGGTTACTATAAATGCTTTAATTTTCACAGTAGTATTATCTCTGCACTTGCTACTTAACAGAATAGATACGTAAAAGGAGGGGTATCCAAATCAACTTTGTGACACTTATTTATTTTTATCATCTGTACCTGCTCAGAACACAATCTGAATTCTGCATTGACATCTATTACTCCATCATTAGAGATTTTAGAGGATTTCTTACTGTCATCTAAATTCTGGGTATATTGTTTTTTATGATTTATAGTAAAGTCTGCCATGCTTTCTTCAAATGTATTATACCTTCCTCTTTCACTAGATTTTTTTTCTTGAACAGCTTGATTATTTATACTAATATTAGTGTTCAGAACATGTATCTGTTCCTGCTGGATCTCTTCTGCTAAAAGTAAATCATCATCCATTGAAAATCCATCAAAATCACCTTCCATATTTTCTAGAACTGAAACAGTTTGTTGTTCTTCATTTCTTGAAATTAACTCTGCAGATCTTTGTTGTAAGCTGTTCCCAAAGCTCTGAGGAAAAGACACAGTAGAATTTAAACTGGTACTTCTTGTACAATATCCACTTTCAGGAGGATCTTCACGTATCCTTAATTCACCATTTTCTTCAAGACTTGCCAGAAGCTCTTCATCAGAAAGCACTAATTCATCATTAGGCCTTGCAATTTCACTTTCGCCAATATCAGACCTGACTATGTTAGGACTGCAGTCTTCTTCTCCAATTAACCCAGCAAGCACTCTCTCCAAAGCAAATGTCTTTAGAAGGCTATCAACTTCACCTCCCAATAATTTCACATTTTCTGGTTTAAGCAAAAGAACACCTAAACGAAATGCAACCTTCCCTTGTATCATAACTTTGGTTCCTGGAGGCAGACCACTATGGAGTTGAGGAATAGGTTGATATTCCATACCTTGGATATGATGTATGCCATCAGTCATTTGTAGCACAAGCATTCGAGTAGGATTTTCCTCCCATGACCTCAAGGTCCTCTGTGTGTTAGCAGTTATTTCCTCATTTACCGTGTTTTTTCGTCTTATTTTTTGCAACTGGGAATAAGCGGGCTGACTCACATCAACAACGGAATCAATTTGCAGAGAATGAAAGCCATTCAGTTCTCCTTTTGGATCATTTAAAATGAATTCAGGCAGAACAGGGTATTCAAGATCTCGGAGATCTGTAAGAAGCCACTGCTCAAAAACTTGCTTGTTAATAGCAGCCTGAGCCAAATTGCTTCCATGATGTTCTTTTTCAATCCAATCAATACAAGCTTCTAGCCATCGCGTTGGCACTTTCACATGCCAGGTAGATAAGAGCCAGGTTTCCACTCTTAATGCAACACCTGATGTGGTCATTTTCTTCTAAAATGAAAAGGAAAAAAAAGGGATTTTTAAAAAAAATTAGCAATATATAAATCTTTGGGGAGGGATGTTGGCCATTTTTGTGCATGAGTTTCATCTTATTCTGACTCTTATTGTTGATTCTCCTAAATTAAAGAGCATGGCAGAGATTATTCCTTTATGAAGGAAAGCAATAGAATGCTGTCCCATTAATAAATTCATTTATCACGAGGCGTGCTTTTAACAAAATACGCATAGAAACGCGCAGTAAACGTTGCAATCCAAACATATTCACTGAACACAACAGGATATCCTCTAAAAACCACACTTGAGGCTAAACTGCACGATTATTGTCCTGTTAAAAATGTGCAAATCAATACAATTTTAGCTATAGGTAAACCAGGTGGTGTTTTTTCGGGCTTCTCCCAGATTCCCCCTCCCTTCCCTCAACGCTGATTGATCTGGTGTTTTGGTGAGCAACCCGAAGACTTTCTCTTCTCTTACCACTTCTGCAAGAAGAACGCGCCCACATAACCCTAAGGCCCCAGCCCCACGAGCTGAAGGGCCCCGGGCTCCCTTTCGGTCCCCACAGCACTGACGCCCGAGCCTCTCCCCTTCTCCCGCCTCCTTTTGTTTTAAGCGCCAAAGCGGACCGAGAACCAAACTTTCCTCCGCTCTCGCGAGAACTTCTCCCCCTGTCCATTATCGACCGTGAGGACGAGGCGGAGTTTTCACCGACGCCATTTTGTTTTTCCCCTCGCACGCACTGGTTATGGTCAATTTCGCTCTCCTTGAAGCATCGGTAAAGTGGTTGGGATCGATTTCTTTTTTTAACGTTCCTTCCCCCCCCCACCACAGTAAGTACCCACTCTCTAAACAGGGACGAAACAGAAAAGATAGGTAGAAGGAGCGATATATATATATAGGGAGCTATATATATATATATATATACTGGTACGTTACAACGTCAACCGGTTTAACGGCCTGAAGCAGAATTAGCGGTGGCAGCGCGCCGACGGTTGCCACGGAGGGCGGGAGCGATCCTCATGGTGTCCCCAGGTAAAGATCGACACCTGTGACAGCCAATAAGGATGCAGGGGCGCAGCAGGCGAGCGAATAGGAGCCAGAGTAGCGCGGGTGAGTGCGCGCGCTCTTGCTTTTTGAGCGCTTGGCGTACTGAGGCAGCTTGGGCGGCGTTAGTCCGCTGCATGGTGAGGAAACCGGCGAGCTTACCGGAAGGCTTTTTTCCGAACCGTTAACGCCCTTCCACCTTTTGTTGGTGGGAACGATATATGTAGTGGCCACATACTGAGGCCTACGAAATTACCGGTACGTGTTTAAAATGGGCAAATGTCTTCGGTTGAGGGGGGTGGGCCAGGGTGTTATTGCAACCCGGCGAGTGAGGCGGTTTTTCGGTCGGTGCTATCCTATCCACCCTCCACCGCAGATAAACGAGTGCCGCATGGCTGGCGGGAAGGTGACGGGCTTTTGAGCCCGGGAGTCCCCAAGTGCCTGCTGCAGGAATCATGGCGGCTGGTTGTAGTTGGGAGGGGCGAAGAGAAAAGTGAGCCAGGCGTTTCCTTTTCTCGGTGGCCCTGTCGGGTGGGACGGACCTCGGTAGGCCCCAGCAACCCGCTTCGCCTTCCCTGAGGAAAAAAAAAAAATCGGCAAAGAGGGTCCCAGGCATCTTTTGTGTGTGTCTCGAGCCGGCGGATCCCGTGTTCTGGAGCTGCCGCGTGGCGATCTTCTTCCGCTCGGGACTCCTCCTGGCAGCTCGTGATCGCCATTACTGCTCGAGCCTGGCGTTAAAGCCGCCATTTTTATACTTGCGTTTCATCCAGGGGTAGTCGGGGTTGTACAATTGATGGTCGCGGCGAGGCTTCACCTTGTCTAGCACCCTGGTCCCGTTTCGGGAAGGAAAGGGGATCGTTTCGGATAAGGTGATTAAATCGGGCCCGCCTTGTCGGAACCAGAAACGAGCTTGCTGGCTCCTGCTGTCCATCCTGCTCGCAACTGGCGCGATTGAGATAGAGCTGGGAATGTATTTTGAACAGAGCATTGCTCTATAGCCAAGGCTTCTTGTCTTCGCCTAAAAACAGGGCTACAGTTAATCTTGTTTGACGCGTCCTCTGTAATATAGATAGATGTTGCTCCTGTCGATTACTAAAAGGGCTGCAAATAGTATTTTCCCCCCCCCACCAGATAACCAACATCCTTTGTGTGCAATGGGCATATATTTTATCAGTTGTAATGAGGTTGTACTAAACATGAAGAAATATTGTACTTTGTAGCAATACCCAGGCTCATTACAATTTTAAACTTGTTTATCTGTAGATTTTTCTTATTTCAATGTTAGAACGTTTTGGGTCTTAATTGTACATTTAATTGCAAGTTCGTCTAAAAAAAAAGTTCAGATCATATTTTGCAATTCTGTGTTGAGCTGCATTCGTTGTTCTTCCAAGATGAGTTAAAGGGCAATTTAAACTTAATATAGAGATTATATAAAAACAATTGCATATGCTGGTATTTAGTTTGATGACCTGATCCAAATGTAATAGTTTGCTTGTTAAAAGAATGATAGATACCGCATATAGAAATAAAATTTAGCTACCAAAGCAGGCAACCTGCACTTGGTAAGAAAAAGAAAGTAGCAGAATGTAACCTTTTTGTTAACAAATATTTGTGCTTTCAGTTTGAAATTAAAATGGTTAAAATTAACTTTTGCCAACTAAAATACAGCGTTGTTTGTTGATAAAGTTAGTGAAAGGAATTAATGCTGCAGAATAGCAATATATTTGCTAAAATACATTTACTGACCCAGTTTTTTCTTGCAGCCTAACCTGTAAATTTAGAGCCAGTTCAGTTTAGAGGTTAAGGTGCTGGACTAGAAGCCAGGAAACCTGAGTTTTGTGCTACTTTAGGGATGGAGGTCAGCGAGAGTTTGGACTAGTCATTTTCCCTGGGCTCTAGGAAAAAGGCAGTGACAAATCACTTCTGAAAATACTTATCCATGTAGTTGCCAGGAGTCAAGGCTGACTCAATACATGCACTCCCCTGTAAATTAACAAGATCATCCCTTCATGCACGCTGCTTTTCATAGGCTACGTGATTGTTGATCCCGCCCAGAAGATTTACTTGGCAAAGATATATAATACTGGTAAGTGCTGGCAACCCGTTGCTAACCTCTGTCATGTTCTCTAAAAGCTGTGGATTCTGTTTGAGCACTTCAGTATATTTATATTTAATCGATTTTGTCTTCAAGTTTGAAAACAATGGAGACTGAACAGCAAGAGGAGACCTTTACTAACACAGAGACAAATGGTAAGTTTATAAATGATAAAATAGTAAATTTACAATACTAATTATATAATAGGATTTCTTATGAGGGCCCAACCGTTACTGGAACTTGAAACATGCTCCCTGTATTTCAAGTGAGGATTTAGGGATTAGTATAAATTTGTTTTGCTGTTAATTTTTCTTTTTGTAACATGTTCACAAAATCCTATTTGAGATTTAAGACACTACTAGAGCTTCATTTTCCCATCTTGATTAAAATTGAATTTAAAAGGCCAAAAATACTTCATTTATTCATTTGAAATACTTCTCTTCCCCAATCCTAGAGAGCTTTGTCAATATTGTTTTGGTAATGGTGGTAAGGTATATGATAGGTAAATAAAATATTGATGCATGAAATAAAAATACAGGTGTTTCCATGATTCCGTGCAGTTAAAAAGTAATTTTTGTAAACAGTTCATTCTTTTAAATATTAGGCAAACGACCAGCTGAAGATATAGAAGAGGAACAGGCCTTCAAAAGGTCAAGGAACACTGATGAGATGGTGGAATTGCGCATTCTGCTTCAGAGTAAAGTATGTTTATTTCCTAATTTATTGACCACATTGACCCTTATCTCCCCCCTTAATTTATTCTTTATTGAAGCTATTTGGGAAACCTTAAAACTATTTCATAACATTTTTTTTAGAATGCTGGAGCAGTAATTGGCAAAGGTGGCAAAAATATTAAAGCACTTCGTACAGACGTGAGTATTTATAAACTAAACTTTGATTATTTTGCAAAACATGGCATTAATATATTTCTAATAATGTATAATTTAAGTAATAGGCTAGTCCAAGCCATTTATAATCATCTTTAAACTCAAATCTCACAATTAGTTCTTAGAATTAAGACATAAAGTAATATGATGAGATTCCTATCCTTTATTTTACAGTAACTTTGCTGCAGAGTTATAGCATATTTAATTTTTTATGCTTGAAAATTTGTTTAAAACAGTTGTTTTTAGAAGACATTACAGATTACTAATCTTTACTTAGGTATACAATGCTTTTTGTGCACCAGGCTTATTTCTCTAATAGAGAAAGATTCATATGAGTATTTTATATATAGAAACAGCATGGTAGCTACATTCTCATCTGGAAGGAATTTTAAGTGAATGTAACTTTAAATATATTTACACATTTTTAGTGGGTTGACTCTTGTGAATAGACACGTTTAGTATTATCTAAGCTTTATAGTTTAGCACCAAACTTTGTAAAAAGCAGTATCTTTTATTGTGCATAATCTTTTCAACATAGTAATACTCGTATTTAATGAATTATTTGGCACTACATTGTTTCACATTGTGTTTGATATTTTCATTATATTGCAAAATAAACTCTTGTAGAATGTTATAACTGTCAACTTTTAGTTACTAGATCTGAGGTATAAGCAAGAACTGGGTAGTAATCACTTGTACATTAACTGACCTTTCTGAAGCTAGTGTACTTAAAATTTCACATACCTAAATCCAGATTTCATTCACATAATTCCTGGATTAGTAGTGGCTTTCCCTATTTCCCAGGATTTCAGTAAACTGAATCTCTACAGATCTTGTGTCTACCCTCATGAGCCAGCCTGCTACTGCAACTTTTAACGTTCAAAGAAGTTTAGGCCAAGTAACTCATTATTACGGTCCATAACTGTTAAGCCACAGTAAATGTAGCTATCCGTTATTGTGTTA